GCTCACACATGGGAAGCAGCTCGCCCGCTCACATTTTTCCTCGAGGGCGAAACTCAATCAGCATTTTTTTCTCTTAAAAAGTAAAAAGAACACACACACACACACACACGCACACGCACGCACACGCACGCACAGAAACTGAGGGAGGTGGTCCCTGTGAATAGCTGGAGCATGTTCGCATTTGTGAATGAAAGACTGTCTGTCTCCTTCCGTCTATGGAGCGTGTTCTTGGCACGGCTCCACTAAGTTGTCAGTGGCGGGAAAACACACAAACACACACACACACACACACACACACACTGTGAGAAGTGACAAAGTGGGTTTGTGTGTGTTAGAAGGAAGGAAGTCCAAATTTGAGGAATTAAACAAACTGAACTAAAGTTAAAAAAACACGATTAAATTAAAAGACTAAATAGAAAATGGATTATTCCTTAAAATATCTAATAGAAAATGAGCAAAATGTTAAGGTGCAGGTCAAAGGTCACATGTTTATGTCGTTTTATGATTTCCACTCACTCACCACATGTCGACGCGTTTAAGAGCTTTTAAAAGTCAAACATCTTTGATGTGGCCGAAGAAACAAACAAGTGTCACAGCTGTTTGTTTAATAAACAACAACAAACTTTAAAAAGTGTAAGTAAGTCACTTTTTGCAGTGTGTGACCACCCACACACACACACACACACACACACACACACACTCACTCACACACACTCACTCACACACTCACACACACACACTCACTCTCCCCTCGCTGCTCGCTGCGGCCCCTCCCACCTCCCTCCTCCTGGGCTACCGATTGGCTGCTCCAGTTTGGCGGGCTTCTCTCGTCCTCGTGATCACGTCAGTCATCAGGGCGACACGTGGTAACAAGAGTTCAGCGGGGTTGTCGCCGCCGGCAACGACATCCCCGAAACGCACAACGCACTCGCGCATAACAAGCATCACTGAGAATAAGACACAAACATGTTCTGCTGGAGACGATTTTAACTCACAGTGTCATTCTGATAATGTTTTATTGTTACATTAATGTCTGTTAAAGTGAACGTTTGCCTCATAACTAACCGGGGAAACACTGTAACGCAACGTTGCTCCTCCTCAACCGCAAGTTGAATTCATGACAAAATTGAATGCACATTTTTTACCGCTGACGTGACTAAAACAGTTTAACCCACTTTGAGCGCGTAAACGTCTCTGCTAACCGATGCTCCTCAGCAGCAAACAGGCCAGTTTGACCTGGTCACCTGGAATGAGTATAAGTGGCTTCATGACATGTTGATATCGTGAGTGATTCACAGCAGCAGCAGGAACAGGACTGTGCACTTATCTGTTTACGTGGGCCTTTATGAGGGGACCGTATCACCATGTGGGCCATGTGTTTTAGAAGTAGGTCACTGATGTTGTCGTGTATGTTTCCAGTACTCGGGAACACGGTTATTGATCATGACATCTTGTCCTTGTTCTGATGACATCACATCTAATATCACTCTTACAAGTTCAACTGAGACGGGGAGAAGTCCTGAAGTTCATTTATCAAGTCAAATGTGCAAGAAACCACAAGGCAGCACGTCCTTGCTGGGTCTTCATTTGCCAAGGAATGACAAGAAACACACATCACAGTTTCCGGCGGTCTGTGCTACATGCTAACAAAATATTCATATTTAAAGAAATATTTCCCCATTATCATTTTTAGTTTTACGTGAAAAGATGTTTCATTATTATATCGAAAGGCCTTTTTCCGCCACAAGAAAAATGGCATCTTCAACATCTCAGTTACAATGATGTGATCATGAGAAGCACACGTATGTAACGCTGAGCAAACACGGAGGAACGTTTAGTTTAATGGACGTAAAGGAGGGAGAGAGGGAGAGAGGGGGGGAGTAAAGGAGGGAGAGAGGGAGGATGGGGGTGTAAAGGAGGGAGGGAGAGGGAGAGAGGGGGGGAGTAAAGGAGGGAGAGAGGGAGTGAGAGGGGGAGTAAAGGAGGGAGAGAGGGAGGATGGGGGAGTAAAGGAGGGAGGGAGGGAGGATGAGGGAGTAAAGGAGGGAGAGAGGGAGAGAGAGGGGGAGTAAAGGAGGGAGAGAGGGAGGATAGGGGTGTAAAGGAGGGAGGGAGAGGGAGAGAGGGGGGGAGTAAAGGAGGGAGAGAGGGAGTGAGAGGGGGAGTAAAGGAGGGAGAGAGGGAGGATGGGGGAGTAAAGGAGGGAGAGAGGGAGGATGAGGGAGTAAAGGAGGGAGAGAGGGAGAGAGAGGGGGAGTAAAGGAGGGAGAGAGGGAGGATGGGGGAGTAAAGGAGGGAGAGAGGGAGAGAGAGGGGGAGTAAAGGAGGGAGAGAGGGAGGATGAGGGAGTAAAGGAGAGTAAAGGAGGGAGAGAGGGAGAGAGAGGGGGAGTAAAGGAGGGAGAGAGGGAGGATAGGGGTGTAAAGGAGGGAGGGAGAGGGAGAGAGGGGGGGAGTAAAGGAGGGAGAGAGGGAGTGAGAGGGGGAGTAAAGGAGGGAGAGAGGGAGGATGGGGGAGTAAAGGAGGGAGAGAGGGAGGATGAGGGAGTAAAGGAGGGAGAGAGGGAGAGAGAGGGGGAGTAAAGGAGGGAGAGAGGGAGGATGGGGGAGTAAAGGAGGGAGAGAGGGAGAGAGAGGGGGAGTAAAGGAGGGAGAGAGGGAGGATGAGGGAGTAAACGAGGGAGAGAGAGGGGGAGTAAAGGAGGGAGAGAGGGAGGATGGGGGAGTAAAGGAGAGTAAAGGAGGGAGAGAGGGAGGATGGGGGAGTAAAGGAGAGTAAAGGAGGGAGAGAGGGAGGATGGGGGAGTAAAGGAGAGTAAAGGAGGGAGAGAGGGAGGATGGGGGAGTAAAGGAGAGTAAAGGAGGGAGAGAGGGAGGATGGGGGAGTAAAGGAGAGTAAAGGAGGGAGTTCATTCCAAACCGAAGCCTTTGAGGACCTCTTGTGGTGAGAATAAGTTAAGAAACATTTAAACTGTACAACTGTACAAATCCAAGATATTTGTATATATATATATATATATATATATATATCAATATACAAAAATATAAAATCAATATATATATACAAATATATATATGTATATATTTGTATATATATATTGATTTTTGTATGTATATAAAAATCTAAATACACGTATCACATGTTGCAGAGACACATTTAGTAATTGTTTTTTTACCACCAGCGTGAAATAAACTAAAATGTTATTTTTCCTCCTGTAACGTTTCTATAACAAACACACACAGACTGCATGACATGAAAACACAACGTGCGTATGTGTGCGTTTCTGTGTTCTGCGGCCACGTGGCGCCGCGGCAACATGAGACAAGTCGTTTCCATGGCGAGGGCCAACTGAAAGGGTCGGCGCGTCCTCCACGGGCACGCCGCCCGGGGAACAGGATTGGCGGGAAGTGTGTCTGTGTGTGTTTGTGTGTGTGTCTGAGTGTGTGTTTGTATAGATAATGAATGAAAGAGAATGTGTTCTTTTGTGTGAGTGTGTGCGTGTGCACACATAATGTAATCAGGGAATGACCTCATCAGAGAGGAAACCGGCTCAGTGTTCCTTTGTAATATAATGCAAACGTCTCAAGGTCAGAGGTCATAGAAGGACATCCTTTACTTCCAAATGAACTACGGCCTGTTGAGATATTCCACGGAAGTCAGTCGTGCGACGCTCGAACACATCTGCAACAGATGTTCTTCATGTGACATTTGAAGCGCGGCGGGTCGCGAGGGCTCCGGGCGCTGCGGCCTTCATGCTGCCGCCGCTCACCTTCAGATAACGAGGCCGGCGGAGCACACAGCGTTTGATCCGTTATCGCCGGCGAGGTGACTCACTCGGGGTCCGTGTGCTCAGGAGCGCCGCTTCCTCTATAGAGGTCACGGCCCTGAAATGTCTACACGCTGTCACGTGACAGCCGGAGAGACGCCGCGTGTCCTCCCTCCAACCGTTTAACGTACATCCGTAGTCACACAATTAACTCAGTCCAAAATCAAATGGAAGTGATTTCAAATCTATGATCAATGTTTAACATGATTATTTCTCAAAGATGAACTATTGCTCAGCTACAGTAAACTGACTGATCTTAACATCCGCAGCTTGCTTTAGAGTTGTGGGTTGTCGTTGAAGATGCTGCAGCGAGATCTTCCAGCCTCGCTGGTTTCTCTAGCAAAAAGGTTAAACATACGCTGACGCCGCTCAGCTGTTCTCATGCCGGTTGTCACGCAGCAGGCCGGGTTTCAGGTTCTAGACTAGATCAACCTTCTCTGGGCCCGCAATCCATCCCGTTCAACCCAAATCTAGAAAATAAATCACAAGCTATTCTTTTCAATGCAACATGCGCAGCTAGCAGCGCTAACAGCTAGCAGCTAGCAGACAGTGCATTGGTTTTGGTACCGTTTAGGTACTGGTTTTTGTACTGGTTGAGGTACTTGTTTAGGTTCTGGTTTAGATACTGGTCTAGGTATTTGTTTTACCGTTCAGGTACTGTCTTTTGTACTGGTTTAGGTGCAGGTTTTGTTACTGGTTAGGTATTGGTTTTGGTACTGGTTTAGGTACTGGTTTTGTTACTGGTTTTGCTAATGACATGGTAGTGCTACCCATCCCTGCAGGGGTGTAGATGAATGGGTTTGTGGCATTTAGTATGTGTGGATTCTAATATGAAAAGTGAAATGTTTTTTTACCTCTGATCCTTACCGAGGGTCCAGGATTTGAACTGGTTCAGGAACAAGACTGCTTCAGGTCTGCATTGTGAAATGATCTCAGCGTGGAATCATTGGAAGATGCTGCAAATGTCCTGGATACTTATTGTGAGGCAGATATGAGGAAACTCATGTGAAACACTCGCACACTTCCTTAAAGTGATTCATCATTCTGAGGTCAGCTGACAGGAATAGCACAGTGACTTTTCCTACCTGTAACACCAGTATGCAGCTACCAATCAGATCACAGCATTTTGGTGACATCACACAAGGTGACGTGGATAAAAACACACACACACACATTCCTTTAATCCGGAGAGGAAACTCCAGTTTGTTTAATCATGTGTAATTCATATACCATTAGGGTACAAACAATGTTTTATATCACTTGAATGCAGAGAAGAACACAGTGAGACCTAAAATTAGAGTAAACGCAGAAGTGACATCATCACCAGGATCACGCCGAAAATCAACACCTCCTCCCACCAAACTCTCCCATTTGATGAATTATTTAAAGTGTAAATCAAGAGGATTGCACTCATTCATGCACAGGTTACTTCCCTTCAGGACGTGGAACGCTGTCCCAGCAATCGTCACTGACCAGCTGGGGTAAAATCTTAATGGGGAGTTTATTGCTGCTGCTGATGTACGGAAACAGCTTCTGGGTGAACTTGTGTGAGAAGGTGAAGATGTGTTTCTTAGTGGCAGCATCATAGAAGAACAGACCTTTTGCCCAGTCCAGGTGGACTCTGATCCTCTGGAGCTTCTCCCTCAGTGAGAGGTTGATAGGCTGGGCTGATGGGTAGAGGGCTTTATAACTCCCCATAGAGAACCCAATCCTCCACATTCCTGACCACACACTCCCTTTCCTCTCAACAGACTCTTCTGCCACCCCCACAAACCAGCATGCATTGTCTCCAACTTCCACGTCCCAGCTGTAAATCCCAGAGTTAAAGCCCTCAGAGCCCAAGACAGCGATGAAGGAGTTAAACCTCTCTGGATTATCGGGGAGCTTCTGTCTCTCTCCTCGACTCACACTGGTCAGATCTTCTGACAGAACGAGTTCTGGATGAGCAGTGTTTGGGTCTAGAACCACAGGACTGTAGGAGACCATCTCCTTCATCTTGTCCCAGATGTTGTAGGTCAGGTTGCCCAGGTGTTTGGCCTGGTCTATCAGAGCTCCTGAGAGCAGCTGGTGGTCCTCCAGCAGGGGGGGCTGCCGGACTCTTTCCACTGCAGCCTTGTAGTGGTTCAGGAAGGAGATGTCTTCAGCTCTCAGCTGCTCCTCTGTGGCTCTGACTGTGTCTGAAAGAGCTGCTATCTCTCTGCTCAGAGGCTCCATCTTCTCCTCCATCATCTGACTCTTCTGCTTCTCTTCCTCCCTCAGAGCAGAGAGCCTGGCCTCCTCTTCCTCCTCTAGAAAGCGGTGAAGCTTCTTGAACTGGTCCTTAATCTTCACCTCTGTGTGTCGGGCCTGGACCTTCATGTGTGCTGCTGTTTGATCACAGTTTCCTTTAACTTTTACAAAGAGCTTCAGTTTTTTCTTGAAGGGCTTCAGGTATTTCTGGATCTCCTTTTTGAGATCCTCAGCAGCCTCATTGATGGGTTGGAACCTGTGGTTGTTGTGTGTTTTTGAATCTCTGCAGACGACACACACTGGCTGCAGATGGTCCAGACAGAAGAGTTTGAGTTTCTCAGAGTGCAGACTGCAGACCTTCTCTGGACCTCTCTGATCTCTCTCCAGAATGAAGGACTCACACAGGTTCTTAATCACCAAACTAGCAGGTGGATCACTCCTCGAGGATCTTCTGTTACACACTGGACAGTCCTGAGTGAGTTTCTCTGCCCACCATCTCTTCAGACAGTCCCTACAGAAGCTGTGGCTACACGACAGAACCACGGGATCCTTGAAGATGTCCTGGCAGACGGAACAGGAGAGATCCTCCCCGGACCTGGAAGCCATTGGCTTTGTAAAACACAGTGTAGATTAGGATACAAGCGAATAAAGGCTGTGCGGGTTGACATCTGGACAACAGTCCATCGGACAACATGTGAAAACCTCATTTATCGACGTAGAGTAAAACTTTTAAATGTAAATGTTCATATCAATGTTGAAGGTGTGTCTTTGAGAGAGAGAAAGAAATCAACAGCCTTGTAACTAAGTTTGAATAATAAAACTTCCGGATCACAATTTTCTTTTTTTATCATTAAAGAGAATTATATGTGTAAGACCCGGATCTGCTTCCGTTCGTCCTTACCTCGAAAGTCGATTCTCAGCTGGTCGTTGAAGCCGAATCTCTCCGTCCGCGTTTCACTCTTCCACAGAAACTCTCCGATTGGTCTTAGGTGAGTTAGGTGAGCTATCTGGTTGGAACTTCAACAAAGTTTACCTGGGACTCGCCAGAGGTTCATCTTTCTTTCTATATGCTGCATGATGGGGGAGGAGCCTCATACCTGCCTGGAATGTAGTCTGCTTTCCACCAGAAACACAGAACAAAAGCATTTCCTCATAATTATCAGCAGCAGCAATTGTGATTCCTGCTGTCGGGGGAGAATTTATCCATCGTGTGCGTCTCTACTGCTCCTCAAACATGGTTGTGTACAGATAACTCCTTATCAATCCACGTCTTACGTATTTTTATTACTAAGCTGTCATATAACTATAAAGGCAGCTCGCTGTGTGTCTGCTGCATCTCATTAAGCAGTGATTAGATTCCAGTGGGAAACGAGTGGTTAAACTGGACGGGGTTTGCTCATGGGCCAGGCCTGTAATTAGTGTCAACACACGCCCGGTGATGAGTGTGGGGCAGCACTGAATGTGGGAGTGGTTTATGGAGACTAGCCGTGTGACAGAAGTGAGTTATGAAAAGAAAATTCCACGGTTTCCGTGCCGCCACCTGCTGAGCACCATAGGACCTTCTATTAGAAACAATATATATGGCAGTCAACGGCGAGAGACAGCCATCACATTGGTGTCTGATGGGTCAGGGTTTAGGGATAAGAGGGGTTGGGATTGGGCCTTAAATCCATGAGGGGGCAGGGTTTACGGTTAAGGGGGGTTGGGATTGGGGCTTGGTTCCCTAAGGGGTCAGGGTTTAGGGGGGTTGGGATTGGGCCTTTATTTCCTGCAGGGTCAGGGTTTACGGTTAAGAGTGGTTGGGATTGGGCCTTGGGTCCCTAAGGGGTCAGGGTTTAGGGTTTAGGGGGGTTGGGATTGGGCCTTAAATCCCTGCAGGGTCAGGGTTTAGGGGGATGGGGATTGGGCCTTAAATCCCTGCAGGGTCAGGGTTTAGGGTTTAGGGGGGTTGGGATTGGGCCTTAAATCCCTGCAGGTTCAGGGTTAAGGGTTTAGGGGGTTGGGGATTGGGCCTTAAATCCTTGCAGGTTCAGGGTTTAGGGGGGTGGGGATTGGCCCTTAAATCCCTGCAGGTTCAGGGTTAAGGGGGGTGGGGATTGGGCCTTAAATCCCTGCAGGTTCAGGGTCAGGGTTTAGGGGGGTTGGGATTGGGCCTTAAATCCCTGCAGGGTCAGGGTTTAGGGTTTAGGGGGGTTGGGATTGGGCCTTAAAATTGGATTGGGATAACGGTCCCTGAGGCGACTACAATCGGCGGAGCTCTCCAGTCCACATTTTGGGAACCTCTAAATAAAGTGAGTGGTGTCCAGCGCCCCCCGTTGGCACAGAGTGGAAGTGCAGCTGGTGCAACACAGGAGCAACACGCAGGTTTGAGTCATGGTGACGTGGCCTTTGATTCACTGAACAGCTGCCACACTGAGATCCCATCTGCATCAGTTCCTGGGTCAGTGTGTGTCAGTGTGTGTCTGTGTGTGTCAGTGTGCGTAACGGTGCCTGGGAGCCTTAGTTGTGGGCCGACTCACCGGTCTCACTTTCTCTGTTACAAGTGAATCTGACTCCAATGACCTGCAAACGGTCTGATCGCAACACAATAAACATCAGATAACCGCGTTTTCCATGGCATATCTTGTGCTAACATCTTTTTTTAAAGACATTTTTTTACCTAGTATTTTCTGACTTTTTCTATGGCATTATTCAAATTTTTTTTTTTTTCTCGACATGCCGTATTTTGATTTTTTTCCAAAACATTCTCTGACAGCCTTTTTGACAAACTATTTTACATTTTTTCCATGACATTTTTCATACTAACATTGTGACTTTTTAAAAAACATTTTTTGACCTAATCTTTTCATCCTTCTTTCTCCATATTTTTAGTTCAGATTTTGCCATTTTTTTTCCATGAAGTTTTTAGACAAAACATAATTTGACTACTTTTATTTTGAAAATAAAAGACAAACACAGTACCCCCAGAATGGATGAACTCATTATTATTAACATTATTCTCATTGATCCCACAGCGAACAGCAAAAGATGATCAACAAAACATTTATGGTGTTGGTTCATGTCGTCCAGACGTCTGTTTAGACCTTCGTACGCTTCTCCAAGACGTCCAATCACGTTAGAGCCTCCAAGATCGGGAAGTTCACCGGGTTTCCTCCGTTAGAATTTTTATACAAAAATATGATGCGTAACGACAATCGTGTAATAACTTATCACATTGTCCAAACAATGAATCAACAAAAATACAGGATAACTTTTATATAGATTTAGATCTCCCAGGAATAGAAGCACTACCACACACACACACACACACACACACACACACACACACACACACACACACACACACACACACACTTTTGGGGTCCAATTCAATCAATCAATCAAATGAATATCAGAAAGATCCAGAAATGTTGAGAACGGACCAGGAGTCGACCAGAGAGGGGACTGCATTTCCCAGAATGCAACGTGCCATAAAACGGTTTGTAAACAACTTCTCAAACTTTAATTGAAACAATATTGTAACTAAGTTAAACGGTTTAGTGAACTGTACCAGCTCGAGCTGAGCAAATAAAAAAGAATACAATATATTTAGATTGTGGACATTTATTATAGAAGAGAATTGTCACGTTAATTGAGAATAAAAGTAATCATTGGTTGCAGCTCTGGTCACCTCGTGAGGTCATGACCTCGGTCCTCCCAGCATGCATCTGACATTTCACTGTCTTCTATGGAATTTCATTCACGTCGCCACTCAGTGGGAAATGTTTGGGAGACGGTGATTTAAGAAACATGCAAACTATGATTTACTGATATGAAACTATAAAACTGCGTCGACATATGACATGTGATTTACAGCTCAACAAATATACAAATCTATAAATCTTTGAACAGGATCCAAGTAGAACCAGCTATTGGAGCCAAACCAAACTACTGTAGATACATTTAGTTTCATTTAAATTAAAAGGTGAAGCAAACAAACTCAGTGCTGGATTCCTGAGCTGAATTTAAACACTCAAACAAAATCAAATCCTAGCGCGTCTTAATTAAACATCAGATGGGGTATTTGTTGAAAAATACATTGCGGCGGTTCTAATCTGAAGTATTTCTAATAGTGTTGGAAGATGGAAGCGCATGTGGTTCCACGTGTGGAAATGTCAGTTTAACCTGGTGAAATAAATGATTACAGCTGAAACAATTAGTGGCTCAAAAGGGAAATTGATCAGAAATGGAATTTAATTCACAACTTCCAGCTTAAAACTTTAGGAACATGAGACGTATTTCTTCACAACCTAAAAATGAAAATGACTGAATGCCTCCTGATGGTAGAAAATATCAAATGTAACATCTATTCAGAAAATGTATTCAATATTACGTTTCTGTGCAAAAACTTGTTTTCAACTTTTGAGGCCCAAAAAATCCAAATCACATTTTTAATTTAAATTTGTTCATTAAAGAATTGTGACCGAGCGATGAACTGAACTGGAAATTTTACTGTGCACAAAAAATTATTTTGTCTTTGCTCTCAAACTTTAATGGAGACATGTTCTTAAATAGAATTATGTTCTGACATCTCATACCATGCCATGTTCTGACATGGTATTTGTTGACCAATAAGAAACAAGAAATGAAGAAATAGGCGTGATGTCAGAGTTTTCCACCAAGTCTGGGTCACAATTCCTTAAATAAAAGATTTATTTATCAAAACCAATGTTTATGCTTTAAACCAAATATCAATACTACTTATTACATTCGTCGATGTGTCACAGGTTGATTTTCTGTGATCATTTCTTGTAGTTCTGCTTTTCAAACATATCGAACGTCAGCGCGCAGTAACATCTGCATTGCTCAGGTGAGGGCCTCACCTGAGGGCCTCACCTGAGGGCCCTGCTGAGGGCCTCACCTGAGGGCCCTGCTGAGGGCCTCACCTGAGGGCCCTGCTGGGGGCCTCCTCAGCGGGACGTGGAAGTGAGCGACCTCGTCTTTCTACGCTTGTTTTGGTTCCAAAATATTTACGAACTACAGAACTGGGCTTATTCCAGAGACGAGCCGAGATAAAAGAGGACGCGCACACACACACAACTAGGTGACACGGCGGAGCTACGGGACTAACTGCTAAACCCCGCCCTCCTGGGAGGCAAAAAGGCAAATCAAACACACCCGGGAATGAAAAGAGGCTCGACGGCTTCCTGGCGATGTTGGTCAGACGGCGTCAGACTAAAGAACAAATCACACTCCATCCGAATGCAAATCTGAAAGGAAAAACAATGAAATTATGAAAGTCTCAAAAAATGTTTTCAAAAAGGTTCTGGTTTAGATACTGGTCTAGGTATTTGTTTTACCGTTCAGGTACTGTCTTTTGTACTGGTTTAGGTGCAGGTTTTGTTACTGGTTAGGTATTGGTTTTGGTACTGGTTTAGGTACTGGTTTTGTTACTGGTTTTGCTAATGACATGGTAGTGCTACCCATCCCTGCAGGGGTGTAGATGAATGGGTTTGTGGCATTTAGTATGTGTGGATTCTAATATGAAAAGTGAAATGTTTTTTTACCTCTGATCCTTACCGAGGGTCCAGGATTTGAACTGGGTTCAGGAACAAGACTGCTTCAGGTCTGCATTGTGAAATGATCTCAGCGTGGAATCATTGGAAGATGCTGCAAATGTCCTGGATACTTATTGTGAGGCAGATATGAGGAAACTCATGTGAAACACTCGCACACTTCCTTAAAGTGATTCATCATTCTGAGGTCAGCTGACAGGAATAGCACAGTGACTTTTCCTACCTGTAACACCAGTATGCAGCTACCAATCAGATCACAGCATTTTGGTGACATCACACAAGGTGACGTGGATAAAAACACACACACACACACATTCCATTAATCCGGAGAGGAAACTCCAGTTTGTTTAATCATGTGTAATTCATATACCATTAGGGTACAAACAATGTTTTGTATCACTTGAATGCAGAGAAGAACACAGTGAGACCTAAAATTAGAGTAAACGCAGAAGTGACATCATCACCAGGATCACGCCGAAAATCAACACCTCCTCCCACCAAAATCTCCCATTTGATGAATTATTTAAAGTGTAAATCAAGAGGATTGCACTCATTCATGCACAGGTTACTTCCCTTCAGGACGTGGAACGCTGTCCCAGCAATCGTCACTGACCAGCTGGGGTAAAATCTTAATGGGGAGTTTATTGCTGCTGCTGATGTACGGAAACAGCTTCTGGGTGAACTTGTGTGAGAAGGTGAAGATGGGTTTCTTAGTGTCAGCATCGAAGAAGAACAGACCTTTTTCCCAGTCCAGGTGGACTCTGATCCTCTGGAGCTTCTCCCTCAGTGAGAGATTGATAGGCTGGGCTGATGGGTAGAGGGCTTTATAACTCCCCATAGAGAACCCAATCCTCCACATTCCTGACCACACACTCCCTTTCCTCTCAACAGACTCTTCTGCCACCCCCACAAACCAGCATGCATTGTCTCCAACTTCCACGTCCCAGCTGTAAATCCCAGAGTTAAAGCCCTCAGAGCCCAAGACAGCGATGAAGGAGTTAAACCTCTCTGGATTATCGGGGAGCTTCTGTCTCTCTCCTCGACTCACACTGGTCAGATCTTCTGACAGAACGAGTTCTGGATGAGCAGTGTTTGGGTCTAGAACCACAGGACAGTAGGAGACCATCTCCTTCATCTTGTCCCAGATGTTGTAGGTCAGGTTGCCCAGGTGTTTGGCCTGGTCTATCAGAGCTCCTGAGAGCAGCTGGTGGTCCTCCAGCAGGGGGGGCTGCCGGACTCTTTCCACTGCAGCCTTGTAGTGGTTCAGGAAGGAGATGTCTTCAGCTCTCAGCTGCTCCTCTGTGGCTCTGACTGTGTCTGAAAGAGCTGCTATCTCTCTGCTCAGAGGCTCCATCTTCTCCTCCATCATCTGACTCTTCTGCTTCTCTTCCTCCCTCAGAGCAGAGAGCCTGGCCTCCTCTTCCTCCTCTAGAAAGCGGTGAAGCTTCTTGAACTGGTCCTTAATCTTCACCTCTGTGTGTCGGGCCTGGACCTTCATGTGTGCTGCTGTTTGATCACAGTTTCCTTTAACTTTTACAAAGAGCTTCAGTTTCTCCTTGAAGGGCTTCAGGTATTTCTGGATCTCCTCTTTGAGATTCTCAGCAGCCTCATTGATGGGTTGGAACCTGTGGTTGTTGTGTGTTTTTGAATCTCTGCAGACGACACACACTGGCTGCAGATGGTCCAGACAGAAGAGTTTGAGTTTCTCAGAGTGCAGACTGCAGACCTTCTCTGGACCTCTCTGATCTCTCTCCAGAATGAAGGACTCACACAGGTTCTTAATCACCAAACTAGCAGGTGGATCACTCCTCGAGGATCTTCTTTTACACACTGGACAGTCCTGAGTGAGTTTCTCTGCCCACCATCTCTTCAGACAGTCCCTACAGAAGCTGTGGCTACACGACAGAACCACGGGATCCTTGAAGATGTCCTGGCAGACGGAACAGGAGAGATCCTCCCCGGACCTGGAAGCCATTGGCTTTGTAAAACACAGTGTAGATTAGGATACAAGCGAATAAAGGCTGTGCGGGTTGACATCTGGACAACAGTCCATCGGACAACATGTGAAAACCTCATTTATCGACGTAGAGTAAAACTTTTAAATGTAAATGTTCATATCAATGTTGAAGGTGTGTCTTTGAGAGAGAGAAAGAAATCAACAGCCTTGTAACTAAGTTTGAATAATAAAACTTCCGGATCACAATTTTCTTTTTTTATCATTAAAGAGAATTATATGTGTAAGACCCGGATCTGCTTCCGTTCGTCCTTACCTCGAAAGTCGATTCTCAGCTGGTCGTTGAAGCCGAATCTCTCCGTCCGCGTTTCACTCTTCCACAGAAACTCTCCGATTGGTCTTAGGTGAGTTACATCTGGTTGGAACTTCAACAAAGTTTACCTGGGACTCGCCAGAGGTTCATCTTTCTTTCTATATGCTGCATGATGGGGGAGGAGCCTCATACCTGCCTGGAATGTAGTCTGCTTTCCACCAGAAACACAGAACAAAAGCATTTCCTCATAATTATCAGCAGCAGCAATTGTGATTCCTGCTGTCGGGGGAGAATTTATCCATCGTGTGCGTCTCTACTGCTCCTCAAACATGGTTGTGTACAGATAACTCCTTATCAATCCACGTCTTACGTATTTTTATTACTAAGCTGTCATATAACTATAAAGGCCGCTCGCTGTGTGTCTGCTGCATCTCATTAAGCAGTGATTAGATTCCAGTGGGAAACGAGTGGTTAAACTGGACGGGGTTTGCTCATGGGCCAGGCCTGTAATTAGTGTCAACACACGCCCGGTGATGAGTGTGGGGCAGCACTGAATGTGGGAGTGGTTTATGGAGACTAGCCGTGTGACAGAAGTGAGTTATGAAAAGAAAATTCCACGGTTTCCGTGCCGCCACCTGCTGAGCACCATAGGACCTTCTATTAGAAACAATATATATGGCAGTCAACGGCGAGAGACAGCCATCACATTGGTGTCTGATGGGTCAGGGTTTAGGGATAAGAGGGGTTGGGATTGGGCCTTAAATCCATGAGGGGGCAGGGTTTACGGTTAAGGGGGGTTGGGATTGGGGCTTGGTTCCCTAAGGGGTCAGGGTTTAGGGGGGTTGGGATTGGGCCTTTATTTCCTGCAGGGTCAGGGTTTACGGTTAAGGGTGGTTGGGATTGGGCCTTGGGTCCCTAAGGGGTCAGGGTTTAGGGTTTAGGGGGGTTGGGATTGGGCCTTAAATCCCTGCAGGGTCAGGGTTTAGGGGGGTGGGGATTGGGCCTTAAGTCCCTGCAGGGTCAGGGTTTAGGGTTTAGGGGGGTTGGGATTGGGGCAACACGCAGGTTTGAGTCATGGTGACGTGGCCTTTGATTCACTGAACAGCTGCCACACTGAGATCCCATCTGCATCAGTTCCTGGGTCAGTGTGTGTCAGTGTGTGTCTGTGTGTGTCAGTGTGCGTAACGGTGCCTGGGAGCCTTAGTTGTGGGCCGACTCACCGGTCTCACTTTCTCTGTTACAAGTGAATCTGACTCCAATGACCTGCAAACGGTCTGATCGCAACACAATAAACATCAGATAACCGCGTTTTCCATGGCATATCTTGTGCTAACATCTTTTTTTAAAGACATTTTTTTACCTAGTATTTTCTGACTTTTTCTATGGCATTATTCAAATAAATTTTTTTTTCTCGACATGCCGTATTTTGATTTTTTTCCAAAACATTCTCTGACAGCCTTTTTGACAAACTATTTTACATTTTTTCCATGACATTTTTCATACTAACATTGTGACTTTTTAAAAAACATTTTTTGACCTAATCTTTTCATCCTTCTTTCTCCATATTTTTAGTTCAGATTTTGCCATTTTTTTTCCATGAAGTTTTTAGACAAAACATAATTTGACTACTTTTATTTTGAAAATAAAAGACAAACACAGTACCCCCAGAATGGATGAACTCATTATTATTAACATTATTCTCATTGATCCCACAGCGAACAGCAAAAGATGATCAACAAAACATTTATGGTGTTGGTTCATGTCGTCCAGACGTCTGTTTAGACCTTCGTACGCTTCTCCAAGACGTCCAATCACGTTAGAGCCTCCAAGATCGGGAAGTTCACCGGGTTTCCTCCGTTAGAATTTTTATACAAAAATATGATGCGTAACGACAATCGTGTAATAACTTATCACATTGTCCAAACAATGAATCAACAAAAATACAGGATAACTTTTATATAGATTTAGATCTCCCAGGAATAGAAGCACTACCACACACACACACACACACACACACTTTTGGGGTCCAATTCAATCAATCAATCAAATGAATATCTGAAAGATCCAGAAATGTTGAGAACGGACCAGGAGTCGACCAGAGAGGGGACTGCATTTCCCAGAATGCAACGTGCCATAAAACGGTTTGTAAACAACTTCTCAAACTTTAATTGAAACAATATTGTAACTAAGTTAAACGGTTTAGTGAACTGTACCAGCTCGAGCTGAGCAAATAAAAAAGAATACAATATATTTAGATTGTGGACATTTATTATAGAAGAGAATTGTCACGTTAATTGAGAATAAAAGTAATCATTGGTTGCAGCTCTGGTCACCTCGTGAGGTCATGACCTCGGTCCTCCCAGCATGCATCTGACATTTCACTGTCTTCTATGGAATTTCATTCACGTCGCCACTCAGTGGGAAATGTTTGGGAGACGGTGATTTAAGAAACATGCAAACTATGATTTACTGATATGAAACTATAAAACTGCGTCGACATATGACATGTGATTTACAGCTCAACAAATATACAAATCTATAAATCTTTGAACAGGATCCAAGTAGAACCAGCTATTGGAGCCAAACCAAACTACTGTAGATACATTTAGTTTCATTTAAATTAAAAGGTGAAGCAAACAAACTCAGTGCTGGATTCCTGAGCTGAATTTAAACACTCAAACAAAATCAAATCCTAGCGCGTCTTAATTAAACATCAGATGGGGTATTTGTTGAAAAATACATTGCGGCGGTTCTAATCTGAAGTATTTCTAATAGTGTTGGAAGATGGAAGCGCATGTGGTTCCACGTGTGGAAATGTCAGTTTAACCTGGTGAAATAAATGATTACAGCTGAAACAATTAGTGGCTCAAAAGGGAAATTGATCAGAAATGGAATTTAATTCACAACTTCCAGCTTAAAACTTTAGGAACATGAGACGTATTTCTTCACAACCTAAAAATGAAAATGACTGAATGCCTCCTGATGGTAGAAAATATCAAATGTAACATCTATTCAGAAAATGTATTCAATATTACGTTTCTGTGCAAAAACTTGTTTTCAACTTTTGAGGCCCAAAAAATCCAAATCACATTTTTAATTTAAATTTGTTCATTAAAGAATTGTGACCGAGCGATGAACTGAACTGGAAATTTTACTGTGCACAAAAAATTATTTTGTCTCAAACTTTAATGGAGACATGTTCTTAAATAGAATTATGTTCTGACATCTCATACCATGCCATGTTCTGACATGGTATTTGTTGACCAATAAGAAACAAGAAATGAAGAAATAGGCGTGATGTCAGAGTTTTCCACCAAGTCTGGGTCACAATTCCTTAAATAAAAGATTTATTTATCAAAACCAATGTTTATGCTTTAAACCAAATATCAATACTACTTATTACATTCGTCGATGTGTCACAGGTTGATTTTCTGTGATCATTTCTTGTAGTTCTGCTTTTCAAACATATCGAACGTCAGCGCGCAGTAACATCTGCATTGCTCAGGTGAGGGCCTCACCTGAGGGCCTCACCTGAGGGCCCTGCTGAGGGCCTCACCTGAGGGCCCTGCTGAGGGCCTCACCTGAGGGCCCTGCTGAGGGCCTCCTCAGCGGGACGTGGAAGTGAGCGACCTCGTCTTTCTACGCTTGTTTTGGTTCCAAAATATTTACGAACTACAGAACTGGGCTTATTCCAGAGACGAGCCGAGATAAAAGAGGACGCGCACACACACACAACTAGGTGACACGGCGGAGCTACGGGACTAACTGCTAAACCCCGCCCTCCTGGGAGGCAAAAAGGCAAATCAAACACACCCGGGAATGAAAAGAGGCTCGACGGCTTCCTGGCGATGTTGGTCAGACGGCGTCAGACTAAAGAACAAATCACACTCCATCCGAATGCAAATCTGAAAGGAAAAACAATGAAATTATGAAAGTCTCAAAAAATGTTTTCAAAAAGGTTCTGGTTTAGATACTGGTCTAGGTATTTGTTTTACCGTTCAGGTACTGTCTTTTGTACTGGTTTAGGTGCAGGTTTTGTTACTGGTTAGGTATTGGTTTTGGTACTGGTTTAGGTACTGGTTTTGTTACTGGTTTTGCTAATGACATGGTAGTGCTACCCATCCCTGCAGGGGTGTAGATGAATGGGTTTGTGGCATTTAGTATGTGTGGATTCTAATATGAAAAGTGAAATGTTTTTTTACCTCTGATCCTTACCGAGGGTCCAGGATTTGAACTGGTTCAGGAACAAGACTGCTTCAGGTCTGCATTGTGAAATGATCTCAGTGTGGAATCATTGGAAGATGCTGCAAATGTCCTGCATACTTATTGTGAGGCAGATATGAGGAAACTCATGTGAAATAACACACACACGTCATTCTGAGGTCAGCTGACAGGAATAGCACAGTGACTTTTCCTACCTGTAACACCAGTATGCAGCTACCAATCAGATCACAGCATTTTGGTGACATCACACAAGGTGACGTGGATAAAAACACACACACACACACATTCCTTTAATCTGGAGAGGAAACTCCAGTTTGTTTAATCATGTGTAATTCATATACCATTA